AAAATAAAATGCATCAAAATGTGTAGTGGGCACCTTTAGGCTTTAGCATTTTTAGAGAGACATTTATAGCTTTAGGTGTTTTTACTAGAACATATGTAAGATCTAAAATCAAAGATTGAAGCTTCTATTTTAAGAAGTAAAAAACAAGGAAATTAAACCTAATATAACTAAAACAAAAGAAATAATAGATGTAAGAGCAGAAATAAATAAAATAGAAAACAATAGAGAAAATTAATGAAAATAAATTCTGGCTCTTTAAGAGATCAATAAAATTGATAAGCCACCAACTAGACTGAAAGAAAGAGAGAAACTACATAACTTACCAATGTCCTGTATGACAGAAAAGATATTAATAGAAATCCTATGGACATTAAATGGAAAATAAAGGAACATTATGAAGAATGATGAACTTTATAATTTACATGAAATGGACAAATTTTTTGAAAGATAAAAATCCCCAAAACTGAAACAAACTAAAAATAATCCTGAGCTGAAAATATAAATTGATAAATTAGATTTCATCAAGATCAATAACTTCTGCTCTTCAAAGAACACCATTAAGAAAAGTAATGGGCAAATGATAAACTGGAAGAAAATATTCTCAATATTTAGATCTGAAAAAGAACTTACATCCAAAATATATCATTAATTCTTATGACTCCATAATAAGAAGACAACTCAATTTAAAAATGAGCAAAATATTTGAACAGACACTACAAAAGAAGATAAATGAATGGCCAATAAGCACATAAAAAGATGCTATGATTCATCAGGCAAATGCAAAATAAAACCCTAATGAGATATTATACACACGACAATGGTTAAAATTAAAGACTGACAAAATCAAATGTTGGGGAGGATATGGAACAACTGGTATTTTCATATATTGCTAGTGAGAATGTAAAATGATACAGCTTTGGAAAACAGTTTGGCAGTTTCTTATAAAAGTTAAATATACGACACAACTCAGAAATTCCACTCTTGAGGTGTTTAAAAGGGAAATGAAAATATATGTCCACACAAAGACTTGTACACAAATGTTCATGGCAGTTTTATTGATAATAACCAAAAACTAGAAACAGCAAGGTTTCCATCAACAGGAGAAGAGAAAAACAAACTGTGGCATAGCCATATGATGCAAATCAATTCAGCAATTAAAAAAAAAAAAAACACAACAAATTTCTGATACACACAACAGAATGATTCCAAAAACATTATGCAAAGCAAAAGAAGTCAGACACAAATGAATATGTACGTTATGATTCCATTATATGAAACCCTAGAAAATGCAAACTAATCTGTAATGACATAAAGGAGCTCAATGGTTTGTCTAAGGTCTGAAGTGAGTGACACAGGCAGCCAGGGGACATGCGGAAACTTTTGGGGTGATGGACATGTTCTGTATCTTGATCATGTTTACAGGCGTGTGCATTTGTCAAAACTAATTGAACTGTACACTTAAAATGGATGCATTTTATCGTATTTAAATTATATATCAATAAAACTTATTTTTAATTGCTATGTTTTAAAAATGTTATGAAATAGAAAAGCAAGTGTATTTGTTCTGTCAACATGTTTCAGCTAATACTCTCCAACAAACCAAAGTTATTAGTATGGTTAGCCTATCAGATTTGGGTGTGTTATGCTGAAGGAAGTTTTAAGACATACCTGTTTTATTTCAATAATACCTGACCTAAAGTAAACCATTTTGATGAAATAAGAACTCCCTGTGTTATTAATATAAATCTCATAAAACATTGAGTTGAGAAGAGATGCCTATATAGGCAGAGTTTATCAACTTGCTTTTGATCGATCATTATTGCCAGTTGTGCATCAACTAAATAATGTATACAGTATATAATCGTTTTATTCTTCTTATTAGCTTACAACAATTAGCTCCATTTGCTTCCTTAAAAAATAGAAAAAAATAATATTTCATTATAATTTTAAAAGTCATAAACATACAATTTCCTAAGAGAAATATTTCAATTAGTCATTCATGTGTACAACTATGTACTTATAATCTAGATTTTTCCATCTTGACAGTGAGTGGGAAATGCTTGTTTATGACCTAAATTAACATTTTAGTTCATTTTGGTAGAAATATAGAGATAAGACCACAGTATTTATTAAAAATGAAATGAAAATTTTTTCCTGACCTTTTCCCTTCATGTAATTATGTGGCTTGGGTAAAATGACCTGCATTTTGTGCCCTCTGCATCTATTTCCTGAGCACTTGATAGGTACTTTGGAAACATAACAGCACACATAAGTATTTCCAACACTACATTTGGGATGAGTAAAAGGTATTTTTCACATGAATCTCCTTGGATCACAGAAATCAGTTTCTGTTGAATATTGGTAACCCTCACTTAATGAATTATTCATTTACTCAAATTAGAAACAATTTAGGCCAGCTTTTTCATTCCATGGAGGATACAACCTAAACAGCCAGTCTACCTCATGGAGAATTAAAGTCTCATACACATGCCAATCCAGCCTCACTACAAATCTCCTGTATGTGTCTGGATTTCCAGAGAAGCAGGACCAATAGATAGATGGATAGATGATATAGATAGATAGATAGATAGATAGATAGATAGATAGATAGATAGATAGATAGATAGATGATAGATAGATAGATAGATAGATAGATAGATAGATAGATAGAGGTATAGCTATAGATATAAAGAGATTTATTATAAGAAAGTGGCTCACATGGCTATGAAAGCTGAAAAGTCTCAAGCTCTGTATTCAACTAACTGGAGACCCAGGAGAGCCAATGGTATGATTTTAGTATGAGCCTGAGTCTAAGTCCAAAGGCAGGAGAACACTGATATCCCAGCTCAAAGACAGTGAAAGCAAATTCTCCCTTACTCCACCTTTTTGTTCTATTTAGGCCTTCATTGGATTGGATATCTCCATATACAGTGGGGAGTACAATCTGCTTTACTTGTTTACTGATCCAAATGTTAATCTAATCCAGAAACACCCTCACAGACACACCCAAAGTAATGTTTTACCAAATATCTAGGCACCCTGTGGCCCAGTCAAGTTGACATAAAATTAAACATCACATCGCCCCAACTTTCATACCCTCAAGTAGATAAAAACAGGGGGCTACTTCTTTCCCTGGGATATTCTCTTACCTGGGACATCTACAGTAGACAATGACCATGATAACCAAGCATGATGAGATAAGCAAACATGATAAGATGGAAAAGAAAGCAAATGCCCAGGAAAACATTATTAATTTAAAACACAGCCTGAATCTGGCCCAAACCGACTTTTTAAATGATTAAGTGGTTTATGGAGGCAATTGTTTGCAAAATGTGTTTGGAAAAAACACATTGTTGGTTGAATATACTATAATCAAACACTTCAACACTTTTGTTGTTGTTTTTCCCACCTGCTTGGTAGATTGCTGTTTCAGTGCTTTACATATCACCTCATCTCTCAGTCTCTGATAGATGCCCAAAGATCAATATAGGAACAATATGTCATGATATGACTTTCAGTACAGAACATGGCATTTCTTAGAATTATTAAAAACTGAATACAAGTTAAAAAAAAAAGAATAGAGAAAGTGTTTAAAAAGCTTATGTTAAGTCATAAAGATTTAGTGAAGAAGAACTAATTTGGATATTCTACCTAAGTACTGAATATATTATATAGAAAGGGATGTCATAGCAGTTTCTACCGATAGATGAAAGAATGAAAATATATTCTTTTCTCCCCCCAAAATAAAACTATGTGCATTTTCTAAGCTAGAGATATGTTTCTTATGTAAAGATACTATGAAAATGAATTTGAATAGATTAAAAATTGTATACTAAGGCTGGATGTGTGGCTCATGCCTATAATCCTAGCACACTGGGAGGTCAAGGCGGGAGAAGCACTTGTGCTCAGGAATTTGAGACCAGGCTGAGCAAGAGCAAGACCTTGACTCTAATAAAAATAGAAAAATTAGCCAGATATCATGGCACGGGTAGTCCCAGCTACTGGGGAGGCTGAGGTAAGAAGACCGCTTGAGCCCAGAAGTTACAGGTTGCAGTGAGCTATGATGACACCACTGCACTCTACCCAGGGTGACAGAGTGGAACTCTGTCTCAAAAAAAAAAAAATGTACACTAATTAACACTCTAAGGAAACTCTGGGTTTCTTAAAAGAACTAGTTATACTCTTAGCAAATCCAATGTATTCAATATGATCTTAAAATTTATAATAGATTTTTACTACTACAAAGTTAAATTTGAGACCGAGAGATAGAGATAACTCAAAATTTTAAAATTAACATTTAGGCTGGGCACGGTGGCTCACGTCTAGCACTCTGAGAGGCAAAGGTGGGCGGATCGTTTGAGCTCAGGAGTTCGAGACCAGCCTGAGCAAGAGCGAGACCCAGCTCCACCAAAAACAGAAAAAATTAGCTGGGCATGGTGGCACATGACTGTAGTCCCAGCTACCTGGGAGGCTGAGGCAGAAGGATTGCTTGAGCCCAGGAATTTGAGGTTACTGTGAGCTAGGCAGACACCATAGCATAGCACTTTAGCCGGGGCAACAGAGTAAGACTCCATTAAAAAAAAAAAAATTGATATTTTTTAAATTCCAACTCAAAAAGTGGTTTTAAAGTCCAGAAAAGATGTTTCTGCCTCATGAGATTTTTTTTTGAAAAAGCATGTCTATGACATGCCTTCTTTTGACAAATGAAAGTTTATTCCAAATGTGTTTTGTCTCTAGTCAATGCTCTCAGTCACAAGCTGATATTAAAAACAATCTGAATTTTACTTTAATTTAGCAACCATGATGCATTTGAATAACTTCCCTTTCCTGTCTAAATTTTAAATTTTAAAGCATTGTTTGTTTAACTTCTGTTTTCCCCATGAGCTAGTGGCTAATCCTCACAACTGACTGAGATAAAATCTACGTGCTTGATATTCTGACAATATATAATATGCCCACGTGCAGTGTTCTCCCATAACTTTGTTTTTTATCCAATCCAGCACTAATGTATGCAAGCATTTTTGGGAATGTATCTGCAATTATCCAAAGACTATACTCGGGAACTGCCAGGTACCACATGCAGATGCTGCGAGTAAAAGAGTTCATTCGCTTTCACCAAATCCCCAACCCTCTGAGGCAACGTCTTGAAGAATATTTCCAGCATGCGTGGACTTACACCAATGGCATTGACATGAACATGGTATGTATTTGTTTTCCAAAACAGAAGCACCACAGGCGTTACAGCTATAGCCAAAATGAAAAATCCAGTCTCACCAGCTTTGAACCCCCTGCTTTTGTTTTCTTCTCTCAGATGTGTATTTTCTCCCCTGGAGATAGTCTCTCATTCTCAATTCATGGCATTGCATGGTGCTATATCTAGTTATACTGTGTGGCAAAGGCATTATAACATGATGCAAACTGATATAACTGTGTATGGTAGAGTTCCCACTTCTTGTTAGAGAGAGCATTGCTTTAGCTGGGACTTGGGCTTTCACTGCATGGTCTAGTTGCCAGCACCCAAAAGGACAGTTGGACCCATGTACAATAAGATTTGGCAAGTGAACAGTAACAGCTATGATGCCCCCAAACAGAGATCCAAGGTCAACACACTTTAAAAAATGGGAAACTGAAAATTTGTAGGAGAGGTTAGGGAGCTTATATATATATATGTCATAAGCATTTTATGATAGGAAGATTCACACTGCTTTTAATAATTTACTTTTTATATTTTAAACTATGTGCCCTTTCACTGTACCAGGTTTAATGCATCTTTCCTTTCAAGGAGGAAATATGGATTCCTTCATATCTTTTAAGCAAATTTGACACCAAAAATCACTTGTCATAATCTCCCCTTCTATATTACTGCTCAAAAATCAACACAATTAATAACATTAATGTGGTCCAAAGAGCCTTTTATATTATTAGAATTGCTACTTCTTTAACCTTGCTCCTTGGCTAAAGAGATTGATTACTAAATAAATTATACAACAAATCCCAATTCCATGAGATATCATAGAGCAACAAAAAAAAATATTAAAAATATGTTGCCATCCTACTGGCTACTCCTTCACTGGGCAAGGACCCTGTTTCTAAGAATTCTTCAATACATAAAATCACTCACATTTAATTATGTCAATTGCAGAAACAATTTTTGTATAAGTCAGCCCGTATAATTTATAATTGATTGATATTTTTTGCTTGACTACTAATATTCTAACAGAAAGAAAGTTTAAAAATTAGCACTAATGGTGCAGAAAACATTGCAGATATTGCCCAATTTGAAAGATATATTTATATATGGATAAGTTTATCATAGCTGTGTGTGATTTATTTCACTGAAAAGTAAGGACATGCCTTATAAAAATTTTAATTTGAAGAGCTAATTATCTAATTAGTACGTTTCATATAAAACTGTACCTAAACACCATGAGTTATTTCTAATCATCCTAAAATTCCTTGTGAAAAAATTCATTTGATAAATTGATCTCCCCAAGGGAACACTTTAATGTCATAAGAAAGAGCACCTACATATTGATCATTTTTATACATTTCCATCACTATTATTGTTTAACAAAGGTATCAGTGTTCAAGAAGTATTGGGGAATACGGATGGGTTGGCTGAAGCAGCGTCAAGAATTTTTGATCAAAACATGTGTCACTCAATTTTGTTGTTCCATACTGCCAGATTATTTTAGTAACAGTAGTAAAACAATTATTTTACCTCCCCTCTCCATATAACTCTAGTTTTGTGACCATTTTTTTTGTGATAAAGTCTATTTTGTGACAACTATTTACCTTTCATTGTTTGACTCTATTACCTTTGAATTTGGTTTATATACCACTTGCCTATTTACAATGTACTTATGAAAGATTTATCTCTTTCCTGTCTGCTTCACACCTTAATAAATGGAATCACAACACCCACCGGTAAGAACAGGAGGTATTTATATCCAATTTAATTCTCGTGTAAATTGTTGAGAACACCCTTGTTATCTGTCAGGTTTAGAGCTTGTTAAATGATTTCCAATGTTAGTTCTGATCTTTTTTGCATGACGTAGCAGAGGAAATACAAAGCAACAAACTGGGGAAGACAACCTGGAAGAGGCCAAGTACAGAATAGAAATCCTTAATTTTGACAACAACTTGACCTCTTATAATATTTATATACAGTTTCCCACTCCTTCAAAAATTGACTTCTCTGTCCCTACCCCGACTCTGGTAAAGGTTATGGGTATACGGTTTGCATTAGATAATTGTCATAAAGAAAATGTCATTCTTTTTCACCATTTTCCATTTTCATGATGTAGGTGCTTTCCTTTCCTCTCATCTGCATGCCTGTATGACACGATCCTGAAGTATGTGAGCTCTAAACCATGTGCCGCTCAGTCTTGCATGTGGTTTTGAGAGCTTGACTTTGCACGACCTTCTTGTCTGTCTACATTTCTCATTTTGTGACTGCAAAGTGAGTAAAAAAAATCAAAGTGCAAGATAATTCTGAAAACTCAGCAAATGGAAGATGCTTACTTATTAAGCACTATATACAGAATAAAGTGGATTAGAGAAAAGAAATTGTACTCTTAGACTATTGAGAGGTTAAAAAAAAAGTAGATTTCTACCTCTAAAACCACAATGTTAGAATCCCTGTGTCTTATCAGTTTGCTGTCAATTAAATTTATTAACATTTAAAATTATTTAAATTTATGTATTGTGATACATAAAAGTACATCAAACTGTTATATAATTTGCATCAGCATTCCATATTATTTCATTTAAGTATAACCTTAAATGTAATTTCTCATAAAACATTTCAGGTCATTTTTACTGTTCAACCTTATCAAATGAAGTACAAGATTTTCAATCACACTGTATTAATTGACCTAAAGTTATTTTTTATGCCCCAAAATATTTGATTGTTTGATAGATCACAAAAAGTAAGAAAGATGTGACCTAAAAAGTATGGCCATATTCCTTATTCTCTGCATCTTTTGCTTTTTGTGAAAAAGTATTGCCAGAATATTCCAGAATTAAAAGCATTCTGGGAATAATTATGGACTCCCTTTCAATTGAACCAAATGGTTCTGAGTACAAAAGGAAAAGGGCCAGGATATAGAAACTAGTGAAAGGAACATGTTCTGTTGAGTGTGATTTCAAACTTAGAATTGGTAGAGATTATCTCAAAGATTTGCACAGGTTAATTCTAGAAAACCGTTTCTCTTCTACCTCCAAAAGTTTGACTAGGTAGGAGTGAGGACTCAGATTAGCACTCTGGACATCTTAATGAATTTCTCCAAATCAAAACCAACCTCTGATCCAGTCTGAAACTTGCCAAGGTTAATTAACACTGTTTTAGTTACAATACTACCAGGGTGATGAGAATAATTTTCCATGTCAGTGTAGAATACTCAAGTGGCTCCATATCACACATAAGAGCCTGGCTTGAATGAAGAAGGGCCCTGACTAACCCTGGTCCCTAGATCATTCTGGATGGAGGGAAATAAAACCATTTAGGACAGAAATCACTCCATATTTTGATATTATACTGGCATGGAAGAAAATTCTGTATGAACATTTAATTAATTTATTTATTTAATTTATTCCTTACTTAAAAATGCCATCCCCCAACTCCACTAAGTAATGCCTGAATCATAGGAAAAAAATTGCACAATAGGGATTCAGAAGACCCAAGAACTAGCTCTCGATCTGCTGCTTATCTTGGACAAGTCACTTAACCTCTCTGCAATTTCATTAAACTTGTCATTTTCCAAAATTTTTAAAGCACCAGAACTCAAATATGCTAAATATGTAAAATAATTATTATGGGAGATTTTCTACTTGAGGATGGAAATTCTAAGCTGTCTGCTGCCCACTCCCTCACCCCCTGTGGTGGGCCTCTGAGTCTTCTCTACAGAACATCTGCTTCTGCATAGAGTGTTATTCAAAAACCACTGGACTGGGTAGCTGGTAGAATTGTATATGGCAGAGAACTAAAGGAGAGCATTTCAGGTAAAGACCAGAATGAGAACAGAGGCACATATGTAGGAGAATACACACAATTAGACAGATAATCCAGACACAACTTTAATTTAGGAAGAAAAGGGAATAATTGAGTACCTTTTTAGCCTAGAGCATTAATGGAGGAAATTTAGAGAGATAAACATAGAAAGTAGTTGAAATAAAAGTCTTGAAAGAGGTATACATTCTTCAGCAGGGTGGATACGTAAGTTTTCCTTAAAGACAGGAAAGAAAAGAGAAAAGTGTGAAGGCATTGGCTTTGCGTGGTCAAGGAGAAAACCTGAAAGCACTTGCACTACATGGTCCATTCTCTAGGTAGAGCAGGGACTAGATTAATTCCTGAGAAAAGAGGAGGTATAGGATAGGAGTGGAGCCCAAGAGGAAGATAATTCTTGGACATTTCAATCAAGAGTCAGCTTAGTAGGCTAAAAATACTTAGAATCACAGTGAGATTGTGAATAACACAGCATGCTCTTGCAATAGACCTATGAACAAAGTCAGTCAAACTGGAAAAGAGAATAATTGAGAATGGTAGCCTACAAACCCAGCTACTTGAGAGGCTGAGATGGGAGGATCACTTGAGGCCAGGAGTTCAAGATCAGCCTAGGCAACATAGCAAGACCTCATATCTAAAAACAAAAAATTTTTTAATTAGCCAGACATGGTGGCATGTGCTGTAGTCCCAGCTACTCAGGAGGCTGAAACGGGAGGATCGCTTGAGCCCAGGAGTTCAACGTTACAGTGAGCTCTTACCACAAAACTGCACTCTACCCTGGGCAACAGAGGAAGACCCCATCTCTAAATAAAATTTCTAAGAAAGAACAGTACACTGTTTAATAGAAATTCTTATTTCTTGGGGTTGATGGGCTAAGGAGTATCTTAATGAAAATTTAACTTCTTTTACTTTCACAACTCTTTCTAGTTTCTCTGTTATCTGTCAGAATAGCCTCTACTACTAACACCAACCTTGTCTCTGCATCCACAGTCTAACTCTACCCCATGAAACACTTCATTATGCCCATTCTCTACGCTTACTTAAATAACTTCATCTGTGCCAGACTTTCATATTTAGATCATGAAGTATTTTAATACATCATAGTAAAATATAACAGTGAGCCCTTTGAGTTATGTTCAATTCAGCAACTCAGATAAAAACAATCCTGTGACAATAAACTCCACAGAAATATA